AAAGCTCTTAGAAAAGTAAAATTTCTAAAGTATCTTTGACTCTTGAAAACCAGGCAACCTGTATCCATGGGCAAGTTCCAATTTTTTATCAGCTAGTCATGAAAGTTCAATTGTGTATATACAACACCTGAAGTGTTTTTGTGCCCTATGCTGTGCATTGAAAGCATACTTCATGAGGGCAAGTTCTAAAATAATACCTGACTATTAAAGCAGGAGCTTGAATAATATTATGGTTGTTTAAGTCCACATTCACTACAACAATCTGAGTCCCTGAAAGACAAACTGTTCAGGACCATCCAGTGACTATGCGTCAATTTAAGAGAAAAGAAACCAGGAGTCCTGACTCATGCACACCCTTTACCACAAGCTAAGAAGTCCGTCAGCTAGAAAATACTTGGGAAAATTGCCACTGCACCATGATGTCTCTGGGAAACAGAGGTAGCGCCAACAGTGCCTTCTGCAGGAAGGCCTCCCCCTGGCTCCTGCTCTTTTGGGCCAGTGAATGCTCTGGGGCACAGTGTGAATGAAGCCAGGGGGCCCAACTCCCTTGATGATACAAACCACAAGCCAACCTGAGGGAGATTGACATCACTGGCCATAAAAGGAGACTGACCAGAACAGTAACCCAACACACACACACACACACACACACACACACACACACACACACACACAATTAACATTAAATCATTGGTGGGGTTTAGGCAGGGGCTGTGCAGGGGCCTTCCCTTTGACTGTTTTTTCGGCCTGTAGCTGTGGCTCACACAAAAAGCTCAAAAAAGGTTTGCCAGAAGAAAACTTAATGGAGATAACTGACCCAGAGGGAAATTTAATGGAGATAATTGTCATGTGGCAGTTCACCTGCACAGAGAAAAGGAGGTTACACCAAGATCACTAGCATAATCTGGGTGCCACTCCATTCCACAGGAACATGGGACACCATTCCTGTCCTTAGGATGAATGTCGCACAGTGGCCTGACAGCTTCCAAGGGAGCGTGCTGCTGGAAAGCCATATCCCGGTCTGGTTGCTACCACAACGTAGTATCCAGTTATGTACTGGGAGACCACAGACACTCTTCTGAAAGTAGCCCCTCTGTGGGCAGACATGTCTGGCATCAGTGTCAGCATCCTACTTGGCTCAGGCTGCTGTGACAAGCTACCATAGACTGGATGACTTAAACAGGAGAAAGGTATTTCTCACAGTTCTGGAGACTGAAAGTTCAAAATCACAGTGGCAACATGGTTTGATTCTTGGTGAGGACCCTCTTTCTTGCACACAGCTGCCATCTGGCTGTATGCTCACATGGCAGAGAGAAAGAGCTCTCTGGTTCCACGCTCATGACCTCGTCTAAATCTAGTTCTCTGTCAAAAGCCCCACTTCTTACTACTATCACCTTGGGAGTCAGGGTGTCAACATATACCTTTTGGGGGGACACAAACAGTCCATAAGAGATAGCATGAAACTGAGCTCCCCACATCATTGGCAACTGTGCTACCCTTTCTGGACTTGCCCATTTCTAAGGTGGTTTAGGGGATGGTCTCCATCCCTGTCTGCTTACATTTAAAGGCAGGGTGAAGCCTTACCTGAGGAGACTGAAGGATGCGCCTGCTGTGACCTAGAAGATATGCCTGGAAAGGTCATGTGTTTTGCGCTAGGGACTGCTGACTGTTTGTAGTTCATTGACAGGAAGATCCTTGGAGGTGAAACACTAAAGGCCTCTGAACCATGATGGTGGAAGGGGGAGGTTAACACAGTAGATATCCTAATCTTCAGTCCCCCTAAAAATCACAGCAGCTACTTGTCTTATCAGCTGGAGCCTGTCCAGTAACTCTCTTATCATCCTTCTTTAATGGGCAGAGGAAAGACAATGATAATTTCACAGCAGGAGGAAGATTTGCATCACTTCTAGAGAATAATCCAAGGCAGACTATTTCCCCTGCCCAACCGCCCTTCCATGAGAATGAAGGAACTCCAGTTTCTGGACCATGCTTGAGAAACTCCAGTCTCCTGGGAATTCTTCCTCGGGCCACTGAGTTGGTGGGTTCAACGCAGTAGCAAGATCATGTTCCTTCCCCGCACCCCTTGAAGGACTTCTCAATGAAATGCTTTGGAAGAATTTGTTCCTTTTTGTATCTCTCAAAGGCCTCAAAGTGTATCTAGTGCCAGAGTGATGTCATCCATTGGGAAAAGGGCCTGCTCCTGGGCCAAGCTCAGAACTGCCCAGTTCCATTTCTGAGGTCCTTTTGAATTCTGCACAGAACCCATAAAGCCCGAAGAACAGCTCCAACCCCAACTTAGGACCTATGTCTCAGGAGTCTGAGCAGAAGCTCACTCTGAAAAACACTCTGGGCAGCTGGGAATCCAGCCAAGAGTCCTTTTAGCAAAGTCCCTTTTTTTTTGGTAACTTTTCACAATATTGTTCAAATTGAGAGGTGCAATTACTCAATTGCAATGATACAAATGGATCCTTCTACCATTACAAACCCAGTTGATCAACCTTCTACTTGCCAACCTGAGCTATTTTCCCTACAATTTTATTATGAAAATTTTCAAACATAAAGAAAAGTTGCATGAATATTATAATGAACACTGATATTCTCAACACTTAGGTTCTACTATTAACATTTTCTTTATGTACTTTATCATGTCCATCTACTCATCCCTCTATGTGATTGTGAGTCCATACTTTGATGCATTTCAGTTTTATACATCAATAAATTTTAAACTAAATACTTCAGCTTGTAAGTCATTAATTATGTAATTATTTTCATAATTCTTTTCCTTTGAGGGAAAACGTATGGGTTATGCAATGCACAAATTTGAGTCACTGGCATATACTTGTGCACAGGCAGTGGCCAACGCACACACTTATAACCCAAAGTCTTATCAAGACACAGAACACTATCATCATCAGAAAGTCCTCTCATGCTCCATCCCAGTCATTTTCCTCTCCCATCCATCCAGAGGCAACCACTGTTCCGATTTTTCCTACCACTGACACACTATCCTGTTCTCAACCTTTATATGAATGGAACTGCTAATGTCAGAATGTCTGTGCCCCTCCAAATTCATATATTAAAACCTAGCCCCAAGCCATAGTAGGGGTATTAGTAATGCTATGAATAGGTGAGGCCTTTGAGAGCTAATTAGGTCATGAGAGCAGAGTCCTCCTGAATGGGGTTAGTGTCCTTATAAAAGAGGCCCCAGAGAGCTCTCTCACCCCTTCCTCCATTTGAGAACGTAGCAAAAAGATGGTTGTCTCAGAAGCGAGCATTTGTCGGACATGAAATTTGCAGCTGCCTTTATTCTGGACTTCCTAGGCTCCAGAACTATGAGAAACATTTGTTTATAAGCCACCCCATTTATGGTATTTTTGATATAGCAGCACAAAAGGACTGAGACAGGAACCAGGAACCATTAGTGTGAACTCTTTTGTGTAAGGCTTCTCTCACTCTGTGATGTTTGAGACTCACCCAGACTGTTACATTCATCAGTAGTTCACTCCTTTTCATTACTGGGTAGTATTCCATTGTATGACTATACCACAGTTTGTATATTCATTGTCTTCTTAATGGACACTTAGGTTTCTGGTTTCAGACTATTATGAATAAAGCCACTAAGAACAATTTTGTACAAATCTTCTGTGGACATATGTTTTCATTTCCCTTTGGTAAGTACTCAGGAATGAAATTGCTGGAGCATGGGGTAGATGTATCAATGTTTATGTTACACTCCCACCAACGACGTAACAGAGTGTGGTTGCTCCACATCCTCACCAATATTTGAGTTTATCAATCTTTCTAAGTTTAGTTATTCTGGTGGGTGTGAAGTGATTTAAGCTGTTATTTTGCCAAATGTTCCAAATTAACAAAAAATAAATAGGGATCAGCTTTAAAAGAAACATTGGTTAAAGGAAATCTAGAGGTTGGCATATACGATATTAGAAAAATTCAACTATCCAAACTCAGCTGGAGCGAATAAGAACGAGCTAACAGGATGTGGAAGAAGCTGCCCAACAGATTCTTCAGTTCACAATGTCCTCGATTATAATATTAGATTTAATGCTAGGAAGATGGCAGCCTTTATGGATGGGGAGTAGGAACTCTGTATTTTCCTACAGAGCTGGTCTGGTGTGGACCACAACATGCTTCCCCAATTTGCTTCTTCATGGTCAAAGCACCTCAAGCACCATCCCTATTGATTTGACCCAGCCTGAAAAATGGGGCCAGGAATCACCCAGACAGTTGGGAGATACCCCCTGTTTTTCCCTCCCTTGTTCCAATACTAACCCTGGACCTAAGGGAAGGGAATTAACTTTTGAAGAGCATCAACATTGTGCCAGGACCTATCCTAGGCACTGTGCATACATTACCTTTGAATCCTTACAATACCACCCAATCAAGTGAGGCATTGATAACTTCATGTTATAGATGTCAAACCTAGACTCAGGGAGATATAGTAACTTGGCTGGGTTATACAGTGTTAGAAGAGCCAGGATTTAAATAAATCCTGTGCTCTTACCACTCTACTTTGCTGAGCACTCGGAAAGCACATTGGAGGAGGCTATTCAGCTCAGCTGGGGCAAAGGCCAGTAGTAGACAGGTATGCTTGTCTCTTAAATCAGATTAGCCCCTCCTTTTTCATTCTTTTCTGTTTTCTGCTTTCTAGTGTGTTTATGTTGAAGGTAGGGCTGTTTGGTCTCTCAGAATATGCAGCTGCAAATGCGCTTTAGCCCTCCTCTCTGCAGCTGTGACTGTGTCTCAGGGCTTGGGTTTTCCTCTTGCAGGAAGGAATCATTAGCTTGTCACTTTCTTCTTCCATTCCCCACCCTCCTCAGTGTCTTGGGGCTTGATATGATTAAGACTTGGAATGCAGGACAAGCAGAGAGCCCCACTGATCCCTCATTGCTCCCTGGCCCTCTTCCTCCTCACTCACTCCTGCCTCTGTGGGGAAGGGAGGTAAGTGACTGTGTTCATCGCGTGTTTCTCTAGACTGTTACCTGTTCCTGAAAAGCACTAGCTTGCTCCTCAAATCCCGCTGTTCGGAAATAATTGACGACGTCCATTACAGCCCAGTCTGCAGGATCGGGTGGTCTCCCATTCTCCACCGAACTGTAAAACACAAACCCAGACTGTTGTCATGGCAGAGCATGCCAGCCTGCAGCCAGACCCAGGACACAGGCTCCCAATGCAGGCCCAGGCCCGCCCGCGGGAACTGTGGGGCCCAGGTCGCAATGCTTCCCTCAGGACCTTAGTCCTTCAGTTTCTGGGATTCAGAAGATCATTAGTCTCACTGGCTCAGTCACTGCTTCCCTAATAAACCATTAGGCCTTCAATGCAAACTATTTCTTCATGTGCTATTTTTTAATCCAGAGATACTAAGAGTGGTCCATTGATTTCTGGCAGCACATAGTATGATTCTTCTGAGTCAAGAACACTAGGCCCTTTACAAAACGGCCCCAACGTACCTGTCTTTTTCCATCTCCCACTACCCTCCTCATCCCCATTCCCATACATCCTCTCTGCAGCTGTGAGACCGCAGGGCTAATGCCACTCCCCAGTCTGCCATGCCCTTTTACAGCTCTGGGCCTTTACACATGCTGTTCCAGCCACTTACAAGGCCCTTCCCATTTGTTTCTACCTGACAAAATCCACCATTCCAGCCCTGGCTGGCATAGCTCAGTGGATTGAGCGCGGGCTGCAAACCAAAGTGTCGCAGGTTCGATTCCCAGCCAGAGTACATGCCTGGGTTGCGGGCCATAACCCCCAGCAACCACACATTGATGTCTCTCTCTCTCTCTCTCTCTCTCTCTCTCTCTCTCTCTCTCTCTCTCTCTCTCTCTCTCTCTCTCACTCCCTCTCTCCCCCCTCCCTTCCCTCTCTAAAAATAAATAAATAAAATCTTTAAAAAAACCCACCATTCCTACCTAGTTTATCCTAGTTCAAGTGCTTCCTCCTCTGTGAGGCATTTTCTTGCTCTACCAGGAAATTGTTTTAGTTATAACCTCCTGTACACCTGAGAACTCCACTCAAACTCCCACTGTGGCACTTCCATGCAGGATTATTGATCATTGAACCATTTCTCACTTTATTATTCCTAGTGTCAAGCACATAGTTAGGAACTCAATCAACATTCAAGTGACTAGATATGATCCAGCACTTGTCCGCGAAGGCCGGTGGGTAACCTGCTGGACTGGATTTAGAAGGGAGGGACAGAAGTGGACTAGAGAAGACTGGCAGGGACCTGCAGCTACTGTGACTCTCTCATTTCTGTTTGGGAGTATTTGTCTGGATTTCTCTGCACCTCATCCAAGATGATTCTTCCAAAGTGAAAATCCAATCACACTGTTCTCATGCTTAAAAATCCTCCAAAGACTTCCCACTGCTTTTAAGGTAAATTCCAAACAGCCTAAGTTGGCTTAAAAGCTCCTTCAGTGAAAAGCTCCTGCTAGCTCTCCAGTGAGGAACACATGGCGCTTGTGCTGTGGACCTTCAGTCCTGTGGGGAGACACTGATCAGGAAACACCACTAAGTGTACATACAACTGCACGTTGTGGTAAGTGCAATGGACAGTTTAAGGGGCTAGAGTGGACTTTTCTGTGGAAGTTTCCTTTGAGGTGAGGTCTAGAAAGCAGCCAAAAGTTAACTAGATGAAAAAGTCAGAAGAAGATTATTCCAGGCCCTTTGGCAGGAAGATACACTACTAAGGGAAGGGAGCCATGCTGCTCTTGGAGGCCACACTGAGGACTCCGGGTTTCTGTGTACAAACTATGGGGCCTTGCTGAATGGCCTTACACAAAGGGGGAGACCTGATCAGATTCACGTTGAAAAGAGCATTGGAGAGGAGCCAGAAGGGAAGAAGAAATGCCAGTGAGAGGTCTAGTTGAGTCATCCAGGCAGGAAATCATGGTGACCAAGACTACAACAGTGACTATGAAAAGGAGGGAAGTGTGTGGATTTAAGAGAGATTTAACCAATAAAATCAGCATTACTGAAGTGGTGCACCAGAAGTTTAGCATGAGGAACATGGAACTACATAAATGATTAATTCACTTAGATGACACCCCCAGCTAGTTGGACACGATGAATTTGGGGTACCACCAATAGTCAAGTAGAGACTTAATGTGGGATATGATTCTGGAGCTCAAAGCAGATGAGTGGGCTAGAGGTATGCAACTGGGTGACAGAAGCATTTAGATGGTAATTGAAACCTTGGAGAACATGAGAAGGGAGCTGGGCCTAGAACTGAGCTTGGGGAGGTTCAACATTTAGTGAAAGTTGAAAAGATTCATGTTACTTTTAATGGGAATGATATTGCCTAGACTCTGGGAGTTCCTGGAAGTCTTCAAACATCCAGAAGTCCAGGGCCCAGCTGTACTTCTGCTGCCCTCCCAGCACAATCTTTTGCTCATAGTAGGAACTTAAAATATTTGGTGGAAAAACACAAACTTCTGTCCTAACTAAAGGAAAGGGAGTCACGAATGATGCAGGTGTCATCAATGGTTTATCAACACAGCACTTCTTTTAAAAACATTTAGAGTGAATGCTTACTAGTTAGACGCGTTTTCTACTTAGGGTTTAGGGGTTGTGAATCTATAAGCAATGCATGCCCATGTACATGCACACCCATGGACATGTGTGTTCACATGTTCACACACATGCACACACGTGCATACATATCTTCCTACCACTCAACAGGCAATATACATGGGAAAATACTGTCAAACATTAATAATATATTTTAATATCAAAGTTATACGGGTTTTTAAAAAAATACCCACAAGCTGGGATTTTCTACCATCCCCTTAACATAAGCGACATGAGCCGACACTCGGGACTCTCTTCAAGGTACCATTTTCCTTCTGTCTCTTGTTTAAGGTGGGCTTGGTGAATGTTTGGAAAGGAGTTCATTGTTCTAACGAACGTTTTGAGTTTTCTAATCAGCTCACTTCTAGCAGTGGGCACGGAGTGCCTTCAGATGCACTTTTAAGTGCCCCAGAAAACATCTGAATTCACTCTCCCCATGGATGGCTTCAAGTAGCTGCCTTTCCTCATAAAGAATAGTTATCAAATTGTAATAGCAAAGGATGCTACATTCTCATTTTAGGGTGGGAGGATTTCCTGATTCTTATTATGCTGGGATATGACATCGTCCCACCCATAATTTGGAAATATTCTTGAGTACTAGCAAAAGAGCGGAGAATAAGAACTTGGGAAAACTGCAGACGGTGTACTGTGAGGAACAGGAGCGATGGGGAACTAGGTGCTCTCTCATTATTAGGTGAGGGGTTTACACAGAAGACACCAGTCAATGCATTTAGTAAGTGATCCACCCAAGGTTAAGCCTCATAGTTCCCTCCCCCCGCAAAAAATAATTAGAAGACAAATCACAATGTTAGATTACTCTCATCCTGCGAGGAGAAACCTACCTGTCTGTCCTCATCTCTCCAGCACCTAGCACAGGTCTGATGATGTGTAATCAATACAGAGAAAATCTGTTATGTTAATGGACTAACAACCAGAGAGTCCTTAGAGTCTACAATATGTTTTTCACACGTGACTTATTCACAGCCTCCCAGCTATGTACTTGTGAACTGGCTACTGTACCTGTTTTTAAGAAACTAAGGCTCAGAAAGGTTAAGATACCCAAAATCATACAGTAATGTAGATAAGGAAGAATGGATTCCATATATGTTTGCCTCCAAATGTATGCTTTCTATTCACTGATACAACAAACATTGACGGAGAGGCTACTGTCTTCTCAGGACTGCAGTAGATGCAGGGTTACAGAGCTGGGAAAGCGTGGGCTGGCCCTGCTGCCCTCAAGAAGCTGGCACTCTGGTAAGGGGAGCAGACAGGTGAACAGTGAGCTGTCGCACTGGAACTGAGGGGGAACAAGTGGTAGTGAGGACGCATGTGCTGGAGGGCCCGTGTAGTTCTGCCTGACTACACGACACTTAAAAGATTTTCCATGGCAATTTTGAAAGACATCTATTGCTCCAAACACACCCTAAATTAGGCCCTGAGAGAGGATGGCTTGCAGAGGCAGGTACATGCAGGCACACACTGTCACTCCCAGGTTGTTTAGGCTAAAGCATGATGGATGGTTTCACTGGGCCTTTCTGGTGGTTTCAGCACAGTCTTGAGGAGAGAGCTGGAGACAATCCAAGGCAACCTGACTGCTGGGGCTGGGGAGGCCAGCGCACCAGGGACAGGCAAGATTATGAGAACATTTCAGAGGATGGATTTAAGTGTCACTTTTCCCCACTAGGAAAGCCATAGTTCCCCTCAAGGACTGCTGTTTGTGGCCAAATGGAGACACTTCATTCCTCTTTTAATGGACCATTTTCTCCAAATCTTTTCTTATAACATGTGCATGTCAAATTCCAGAAGGAATTGAAATGGTGCTGCTTAAAACACTGCCCAGCTGATGATTCCCATTGTGGCTGTTAATTTTACGCTGATGAAATGAGATGACAGATATAAAAGTTCCACTATCATTTAATATTTATTATTCACTGTTATCATAGCAAAATGCTTCTTAGAACATACTGTCTAAGGTGATCAGTTCATGAATAAATTTCCAGGCTTGGAATTTTTAAAAAACATATATGCATTTTATCTTATTATTAAAAATTAGCAAGAAACTAGGGCAGAACTTGTCTGCTATCCCACCACTTAATTAAATTAGTGCTTCCATTCAACCCAGTCACCCTTTAGTCCCTGTGCATATGGTTAGGTGCATCATGCATTGATAAAAATTATATCATGCGTGAATAATTCACACAGGGAAATGATTATCCCTAATTAAACAATCGCCTCACTTTTAAAGAGAGCTCGAGAGACATTATCATGGGAACAGAAATGCAATACATAACACATTTGGCAGATATATGCAGACCGGGACCTTACAATGAGTGTTTTCACGATGGCACATTATCATTTTAAGTGCTGGTAGCAAATAGTTTCCACTTCCCTCCGTATGTCAGTGAAAGCATGTGGAAAATAGCTGAAACTCTTTCTCTGAATCTAGTATGAGTGTACTTTACAGTACTTACGGTATTAGAGATTCTGAGGGATGATTAGACCAAGGGGAAACTCTGGATAAATGC